TGTCGTCGCTGCCGTAACCGCCACTCCTGCGGCCTCCGCCGAAGTTGCTGCCACCAAACCTTCCTCCCCCTCGTCCTCTGCCTCTTCCTCGACCATATCCACGGCCGATGCTCGCTGCCCCAGCGCCATCCGCACTCGCCAACTCACGGCGGCGGAAATCCTCTTGAAGGATAGCTCGCTTCACGTCTTCAAGCGAGAGGCGGGGCAAGTCGCGATTAAGGTTGATGATGAGCGAGGACCATGACTCTGGGAGTAAGGCCAGCAACTTGGTCTTCTTTTGGAGCTCACTGTAGTTCAAATCAGCTCCCTCAAGCCGCGTCAACAAGTCGAAGAATTTCTCCACCCCTTCTTCAACCGCTTCGTCTTCTTCAATTCGTAGTGCCGCCATTTGCCGTTCCAACACCACCGCTACCGCCGCTGTTGCAGGAGCATGTACACCCTTGAGAGCAGCCCATGCCTTTGGTCCTTTCTCTGGTTCACGCTGGAATGGCTTGATGTGACGGATCTGACTGCTCCCCAACGCTTGCCCAAGTAAGAGATAGCCTTGTGCGCTCTTCCGCACCCACGGGCTCTTCTCCGGGTCGTTCTCGGGGCGCTTCTCCGTTCCTTCCATCACCTCCAGCAGGTCATAGTGGTCAAATATGTTCTCCATCTTGAAGGACCATTCAGCAATGTTTTCACCGTTGAACTTGTCAAGCCCAAACACCCTAGGCTCATCCCTAGGTGGGCCAAGACTTGGTTGCATGGGCGCCATGGCTGAATCACGGGGTTGGCCTTGAGCTTGAGCTTCTCCACTGCCACCAGCACCTCTGCCACCCCTTTCCTCAGGTCCAGACATTGTCGAAACTGCTCCAAGGCCTCTGATACCACTTGTTATAGTCACAATAGGCTTGAATGTGCCTAAAACGAAAGATAGAGAGCACAGACGGATTTCTGCACAGCGGCTTCAAACGTTGATAGCGTTCTGCTCACAGCTGCAAATGACTTGATTCAAATTGGATCTGGAGCGTCTTCACGTCGTCTACAATTAGCAATTTAGATTGCACGATTTGATAAAGAATTGACGACACAACGTCGATTTGAACGAACGGTACTATGGCAGCCACTATAGTCTTAGAACACAAGATAGGAAGAGTTACGAGTTGGGAATGACTCCCAGCTCCTACAAACCCCAAGAGCCGAGGTACAGTGATGTGGAACAGTGCCACACTGTCCCCAACCACGAAGGGTCTCGAAACTACCCTTCACTAGGGCCTACACCAAGTGAAATGTTACACTACACAAAGTAATATAACTATCTTCAATATCTTGAGGTGTACCCTTTTTGCAAGCTTCGAAATCACTTGAGGCTTGACACCAAGGCTCGGGCTCTTCATCACAAACTCATCCTTGAGTTCTTGATGGGTCTGCTGCACACACCTGCGTCACGCCGAACGTTCGACACAGGACAAAATAGAAACCGCGCACGACAAAATAGAAACCGCGCGCGAGACACAAACGATCGCGTAACACGCGTCCAGCGATAACTCGCTATTGACTCGACACACACACTCGACATCATGACTCAACATTCACACACAATTATAAGCATGAAATATATATTATCCCATGCCCTCATACCATTCCATACACACACACATGCACGCACACGGACAACAAGCCGAGTGCAAACCGTAGGGTTGCACCAACAGTAACACCACACCTGAACCCTAGAAAGCAAACAACCCCTCCCTCGAGTAGCCCAAACAGGGACGCAGCAAACTAACAGGTAAAAAAACAGCGAGGTTTGTGTATTGCAGGTGGGTGTGCTTGGGGACGCTTTTTTTCCACGTGGTTACCCTTCTCTAAACTGCAACCCCTTTTCTGATGTCGCGCAGCTTTATCTACCCATGTTCTGTGCAGTGGAAATTGTGGCTGTTTTTTCGTCATTACCTTCAGAAGCTTCGCACCGAGCAACCGAAATTTCCCACTTTCGGTGGTAGAGAGGGGGGGGGTGGGGGGGGGGGGGGGGGGGGGTCGAAGGGGCTTCGGAACCCTCGTCATTTCCCTTCGCCCCCCCACCTCCCTCCCAAGGGAAATGCCTACAGAACGCAGCCTAAGTGTACTAAGGTGGCCCAGCTTGTGCAGTGCGCCTTGCTCAGGTTCTGGCACTCGTTGCCGCCTCGGAGGTGGATATTCGGAAGAAAGTTTCCGGGAAACTTCTTCTCGATGAACTTTCATTCAGGTTAAGGTTAAGGTTATATTAAGGTCGTAACCTGTATACAAACATACATAGAGCAAGCAGGGAATATGGCCAATTGACCAGCAGCCTATAAGGAGTACGTCACAACACGTTATTCCCCTATCCCCGAAGGGGATATCCCCCGGCGATCATGGGGGAGCGCTCTAAGATGGTGATAGCATCTATGGTGGACGGAAGGGGTTGCCAAGAAGCCACGAGGCACGAAAGGCAGGGTGGATGGAGGGGACGCCTGTGTCGTCAAAACAGATGAAACGGAGACGAGTGGCGGTCTTGATGCGGGAGGCGGAACGTTGTTGTTTCTTAGCGGGTTGAGAGGACCTTTTCTAGAGAAAGATCTTGAAAGCGAGAAGAAATTGTGCGAGGATTAGTTGAAGCACTTCAAACTTGGTGGCAGACGTGTCGTGAAACTTTCTTTCACATCTCGCATTCTAAATCCCCTTGGCCGCTGCACCAATGAGGAGACTCCAGGGAGCGCATTGTCCAACTCTCGCGCGAAGAGGAAAAAGGAGAAGCTCATCAGGGGGCGAGCACCCAAGATGGCGGCGGGCAACCGAGCCCAGCGCAGATATAACAGCTGGAGCGATACCACACTGAAGAAGATGTGGGAGATGGTCTCTATGTCTCCAGATGCGCAAAGAGAGCAGCGTCCTCTATCAGTGGCAAATTGAAATCGAGTGCCCAAAGGAAGGGTACGGGTGTAAAGGCGAAAAAGGAGGTCTCGCTGCAGGCTGGGTTGTTCCCGGAGAAAGTCATGGGTGAGGTTAGGAAGAATAGGTGGAGGAGAGGATGTGAGAGCGCGTGTCCAACGAAGCTCATGATCCAGCGGCTGTTGTGAATAGAGAAGACGGCGGATGGAGGCAAGATCTGGGAAGCCGTCGTGAAGAAGCTCCAGCCGTGCGCCTAGCCCTGCACCTGTATGATACGGCCCTGCAACCCAACGGTCATATGTATGCACAGCCGCAACGTTCTTAATGTGAACAGTGCTAGAGCCAATGGGGGTGCGGTCTATGAGACGGTGTGGAAGGATTCGAAAGAAGGTCACAGAAAGAGTGTGCGGCGGGGTAAAGGAAGAGACCTGTAGTGCTAGCGTAGGAGTGGAGTGAAGTTCCTGAGAGAGGATGAGCCAGTCCCCAGGTGATGCCGCATCGTCGGTGGGGGCCCGGAGTGCTGTCGACCAGGAAGGGGGGATGGCCGCAACGAGTTCGCGCAGGACTCGACGGCCGGATTGGAAACGAGATGGCAGGAACTTAACTGCGAACTCCTCCGGAGAGATGGGTTCCAAGCCATTGTAGGTGGCATTACAGATGTCGCCAAGGCGGACCTGCTGTGTAAGGAGAAACTTTTCACGACGGATAAGGCTGAAGGGTTTTCCAATGGGTTTGAGGATAAAGCGGTTGAAGGCCGTCGGTTCGGCAAGAAGGCACAAAGGCGCCATTCGTGGAGGGAGGATAGTGGGTGACATAGACAGAAAGGCGCGGAGTTCTGCGAGCGCACGTTGGGGGATGGACGGGGACAGAACCTTAGGCTCGAGAATCGATCAGCCCTCAGATTCGTTTTTGGCTTGTCTGATTCGTAAGACTCTCACAATTTTCGTCTGAAACTCTCAGATTTGGTATAAAGAAAAGGCTGAAAGTTCAGAGTGACCTTTAAAAAAAAGTCTGGAAATTCAGAATTAATACCAGTGAGAAGTCTGATTGCGAAATTCAGAATTCGCCCGCATTTAGCCTTCCCGTCGCCCGCATTTAGCCTCCCCGTCGCCCACATCTAGCCTTCTCGTCGCCCGCATTTAGCCTTCCCGTCGCCCGCATTTAGCCTTCCCGTCGCCCGTGTTTACCAATCTCTTCGCCCGCAATTAGCGTGATCTCAAGCCAATATTTTCCCTGCCCGTCAGACTCATTTCCCCTTCGAATCGCAAGCATCTCTTCTTCCCGTCGCCAGCTTCAGGCCTCTTCATCGCACGCATTCCGCGTTCCTGAGCACTGCAATTCCCCTTACCGTCGGCGCCTTACCCATTCCCCTCGACCGCGAATCCCCTTTCCATCGACTTCATCTCCCCTGCCCGTCGCCGTCATTTCACTTGGAAGGTCAACTTTTTAGCCCTCTCCGTCGCTCTCGGTTGCCCCTAGCCTCTTAGCTGTTGCGGATTTTGGGCCCTGTTTTGTTATTCTCACATCCGCATTTGCGCTCCCACCTCCTGTCCCTGGTACCCCTTGGCGTACTTAGACCAACTTCTGGAATTTGGGCGCACGTTGCGGAATGATAGTGGGTAGTGACGCAATTAGGCACAGGGCGTGCAGCTCAACCCTCCCACCCTTCTCGCCTTGCTCATCTCCCCTGATCCAACGCCCACAGATTCCGTGCTCCAGCGCCCACAGATTCCGTGCTCCAGGGCCCACAGATTCCGTGCTCCAGCGCCCACAGATTCCGTGCTCCAGCGCCCACAGATTCCGTGCTCCAGCGCCCACAGATTCCGTGCTCCAGCGCCCACAGATTCCGTGCTCCAGCGCCCACAGATTCCGTGCTCCAGCACCCACAGATTCCGTGCTCCAGCGCCCCCACGTACCCACTCATCCCATTTCCAGGTAAGAACCCATCCCCATCGCCTCACACTCCCTTCCCCATCGCCTCACACTCCCTTCCCCATCGCCTCACACTCCCTTCCCCATCGCCTCACACTCCCATCCCCATCGCCTCACACTCCCATCCCCAGCGCCTCACACTCCCATCCCCAGCGCCTCACACTCCCTTCCCCATCGCCTCACACTCCCCTCCCCATCGCCTCACACTCCCTTCCCCATCGCCTCACACTCCCTTCCCCAGCGCCACACACTCCCTTCCCCAGCGCCAATGGGGCGGAATGGGGAACCTCGGAATGGGGTGAGGCGGAATTGAGGCGGAATGGGTTGAGGCGGAATGGGGTGAGGCGGAATTGAGGCGGAATGGGTTGAGGCGGAATGGGGTGAGGCGGAATGGGGAGATGAGGGATGGGGAGATGAGGGATGGGGAGATGCGGGATGGGGAGGTGTGGGTTGGGGAGGAGAGGGATGGGGAGGTGAGGGATGGGGAGATGAGGATGGGGAGATGAGGGACGGGGAGATGAGGGACGGAGAGATGAGGGACGGGGAGATGAGGGACGGGGAGATGAGGGAATGGGGAGATGAGGGGGGAGGTGAGACATAGGGAGATGAGGGATGGGGTGAAGAGGGATGGTAAGATGAGGGACGGGGAGGTGAGATGATGGGGAGGTGAGGGACGGGGAGGTGAGGGATGGGGAGGGAAGGCGATGGGGAGGTGGGGATGGGGAGGGAAGGGATGGGGAGGTGAGGGATGGGTAGAGGAGGGACGTGAGATGAGGGACGGGGAGATGAGGCATGGGGAGATGAGGGATGGGGAGATGAGGGACGGGGAGATGAGGGATGAGGAGATGAGGGACAGGGAGATGAGGGATGGGGATGTGAGGGATGGAGAGATGAGGGATGGGGAGATGAACGCGTATGCGACGGAAGCGGAGAATGCCTTCTCGGTCGAGGGGAGGGTGCGTGCGTGTGTGACGGCACTGGAGTGAGGGTGGGCGACGGATGGGGCCGAACGCGACTTGGAGGGAGCGAGCATGGGTGGCGGAAGGGGAGTGAGCGTGGGATACATAGGGGAATGAGCGAAGGCGACAGGAGGGAGGTGGGCGTGGGCGACGGAAGGGAGTGAGAGTGTACGACGTACGGGCAGTGAGTGTGGGCGACGGATGGGGAAAGAGCGTGCGCGACGGGGAGGAGTGAACGCGACGAGAGGGAGTGGGCGTGGGCGACGGAGGGGAGTGAGCATGTGCGACGGAGGGGACCGTCGCGGCGGGAGGGAGTGAGCATGGGCGGCGGAAGGGGAGTCGTCGTGCAGCGCCGGGATGGAGTGCGCGTGGACGGCGGGAGGAGATTGAAAGAGAGTGCCCGGCGCAGGCGGCAGCGTGCGGCGAGAGGGAATTGGTCGTGTGCGACGAGCGGGGGTGAGATTGTGCGATGTAAGGATTGCGCGAAGGCGAAGGAAAGGGAGTGAGCGTGAGCGACGGGAAAGGAGCGAGCGCGGGCGAGGGAAGTGATTGAGAGTGGGCGACGGAACGATTGCGCGTAGGCGATGGGAAGGGAGTGAGCATGGGCGACGGGAAGGTCTTGAGCGTGGCCAACAGAAGGGAGTGGGCGTGGGCCGAGGTAACTGACGGAGTGCGCGTGGGTGACGGAAGGGAGTGCGCGTTTGCGGCGGGAACGTAGTGCGCGTGTGCGACGGAAGGGAGTGTGCGTGATCGGTCTCGGCGCTCCCGCGTGGGCGATGGGAAGGAATTTGTAATCCGCGACGGAACAGAGCGTGCGCGACAATGGGGATTGCGCGAAGGAGACGGGAGGGGAGGGAGCGTGCTCTGTCTCGCGAGGCAGCGTGAGCGATGGAGGGGAGTGCGTGTGTGGGACGGAAGGGGACCGAGTGTGGACTACGGGGAGAAGAAGCGAATGCGCCGAAGTAGGTGGGTAAACCTTTGAAACGCGGTGGGCATTGGGGAGGTGCAACGTGGGCGAGTTCCGCGCGGGAAGGCTAAAATCGGGGAAAGATATATCTTTGGCACATACGGAATGGAGTATTAGTCCTAACGAGTAAGGCGGGTCTAAGAGGCCTCGGGCTGGAATGAGGTTGGAGCCTTGCTGTTCTAAGATATGGCTGCCGTTGGTGCCAGGGCTAATTTTTGGATTTTGACTACCCTTATGATCAGTGTGGTACAAGGTCAAAAACCTGATTATCAGTGTGACCCCTTCTGAAAACCCTGTTACATCAGGGTTTATGTCGGTTTTCAAAATTTTACCCTGTCGCATCAGTGTTCTTAAAAGACAAACCCTGGTGAATAGTTTTTAACGTTGCACTCAATTCAAATTTTAGTCATCATCATCAGACATGCCACATGGGTGTTCATCGTGGTCACTTTCTTCTTCTGGCTCTGGAGTTTTCTGTTTCCCCTGGCGCTGCCTACAAAGAAACTGTAAGTCTGGCCAATGGTGGCCCACTTTGAGCCAGCACATGCGTTGTCAAGGCCGAAATTACGGTTTCGCCAGTTGGCAATCGGGATTCGGAAATCCCGGGTTACTGGAAAGGGGGGGTGGGGGAACTGGGGGGGCGGGGGGGGGGGGTATGGAACTCGCTTCAGGGTAAAACTCGTTATGGAATACGGGAACCCTTAGTCATCAGTGTGCCTAAAATGTAAACCCTGACACATCAGGGTAATCTTGACTCTTAAAACAATTACCCTGGACCATCAGTGTTACTCCCAAAAACCACCCTGATTATCAGGGCATCAGGGTGATTTACACTGATAAAATTAGCCCTGGTTGGTGCTGATCGGACTAGGCAGTTTCTATCGACCTGAATTACCGTACAGGTTTCCAGTTTGGTGTGCACACCAACGCCAGAGTGGTTGCGCAGGAACCGAGCGACACTTCCCTTCGCTGCCTGCGACTTCATCACGTTTTGCAGGTGAAGAACTGGTAACCACCTCGCAACTTTTTTTTTGTAATTCAGGCTGCGGGCTCGCTCACAGATCAGTCTGAAACACTAAACAGAAAAAACAGGGATGAAAGAACTATCCCTCGCAATTAGTTAGGGTAAAATAATAACTAGTTCTGAAAAATCAGTCACAGGAGGTCGAGATGTCTGAAATCACTCTGAAATCGGAGTAATTACTCTGATAGAATCAGCCCTGGTACCGGCAACCATATTCAAGCTGTTTAACACGGATTTTCACAGTTTCACAATAAAATTCTGAATCTACGAAAGAGCAGAGGGAAAGAGCCATACGATATTGCTCCTTTTGCTGGTGAATTAACAAGACTGAACCCAGGGCTTATCATTTGGGGGGGTGTCTATCCAGCGGAATATGGTATCGCACTGTAGTACGGTACATCAATCAAGAATCATCATCATCATCATCCTCCCCATCGTCATGCCCCTCCACCTCAAACCCTTCACCATCATCCCCATCCTCATGCCCCTCCACATCCTGCTCAAAGTGCATGTCGTGCATGTGGTGCTGCTGCGCGCCAAAGCGCGAGGGGTCGCGCGGGAGGTGGAAGGGGCGGTAGTTGGGCGGCATGGTGAAGCCGGAGAAGGAGATGCAGTCCATGGAGAGGCCGCCCACTATGGGCATCACGTTCCAGTAGACCGTCAGGTTGAAGGGCAGCCCCCTCAGGCTGTTGCCCTGCCATGTGCGAGTGAGAGAGGCAAGGAAAGGACACACGCGTAAGAGGCAGTTGGCGACATGAAACGTGATGGAGAGGCCGCCAACTATGGGCATCACGTTCCAGTAGCCCGTCAGGTTGAACGGCAGCCCCCTCAGGCTGTTCCCCTGCCATGTGCGAGTGAGAGAGACAAGGGCGCGCGCGAAAAGGGAGTGGCGACAAGAAACGGGAACAGAGAAGGAACGTGGAAAACAGCGCAATAACTGGTGAGGGAAGAGCTCGAAGACGAGGGCACCTGAGGGGCAGAAAACAAGAGGAGGACAGCTGAGGGGCGGAAAACAGAGAGGAGGGCAGCTGAGGGGCAGAATGCAAAAAGTGGGCGTACAGCAAGGGGAAGGGTGGATTGCTGACGTCTCTGACCAACTTCTGCAGAAGTGAGGAAGGGTGGATTGGTGGTGACCTGACCTGGTCCATGAGCGAGTACTCACTGATCTCCCTCGTGAACTGCAGTCATTTTTTAGCTCAGCAAGTACCCCCTTATTGGACAGCGCAGCAAGTGGATGATCGAAACCTGGTCGTGAATGTGGATTGGTGCTGACCTGGTCCATGAGCGAGTACTCGCTGATCTCCCTCGTGAACTGCAGCGCTGCGTCCTCCTTGTGCTCCACGATGGCATCCCACAGCGACACCTGGCACGCAATCACCCACGCACCACCATGGCATGGTGAGTCCTTGGTGTTTGCTAAGATATTAGAGCTATGCACTCAGACCACAGCTGGCTAGGCACTCAGACCACAGCTGGCTAGGCACTCGGAGAATGATGCAGAGTGGACAAGACAAGGGTCAACGTGGATGGAGGGAGATGAGGAACAGACGAGCACTGAAGTCGGATGAGGAAACTGGGAAAGCCAGGCCCACCTGATTGAGAGGATGCTTTGGGGTTGAAAAGTCTGCAGTGACAAACACAAACAGCTGGGGAAGACACAGAGGGACGCATAAGGGTTGACAGGGTTGCATCAGGCGCAATTCACGAGCATCTCCGAAGCTGCAGTAGCTTGCGAGGCAGGAGTAGCAGCACGTCAGCACACGGGAAACGACGGCTGTAGCTTCTCCATTCTAGAGACAAGCTAGCAAGAGCCAACACACTAACTTCCTTCCAATTCACCAGCATCGCTCCGTGCAAGCAAGGTGAATGGTCTGGTGATGACGCAAAACGCAATAAATCTGGCCAGTCGCAATGGCACATGCGGCTGCAGGTCGTGGGAATGAAGGTGAACTGGAGTGAGTGGGACAAGCAACTCGTGACAGCGCTGGCATGCCCTACCGACACAGACTCGCCCAGAGCGGTCCAGCCAGGTGCAGAGTGGCAGCAGCAACCACCCGCGGCAGGGACGACAGAGGGGTTTCCCAGCAGCAGCATGGCAGGTGGCCGCCACGGGGGGAAAGAATGGTGTGTGGCGGGGAAATGTTGGTGTGCGGAGGGGGAGGGGCGAGTGGCGGAAACGAGTGGGGAGTGGGGCGAGGAGAGGAGAAGGCACCTGCTTGGTGTTCCAGGTGAAGACTGACGTGAGGTTGGCGGTGATGTTGAGCGTCAACACGGCCTGAGGAAGGCGGACGGGGAAGGGGATGGGGAGAAAGGGGAAATGGGGAGGGGGAAACGGGAGGGGGTAGGGGTAGGGGGAGGGTTGGAGGTGTGGGTTGGGAGGACGAGGAGGGGGAGGGGGAGGGATAACGACTGCCCGGATAACGTCAGCACTGCCATCACCACACGCACCGCCATCACCACCCGCACCGCCACCAAGGAGTGGTATTTTCAGGGCGTACCTCATCATCAAGGCGTACCTCATCGTTGCCCTGGAAGGGACCGCCCGGTATCCTCCAGAAGTGCTCCACGTCCAGCAGCTGCACGTTGCACGCATCGCACAATTCGCAAAATTCGCACACGTAAGGACATGGGCGTCGAAGTTAGCTCACGCTGCGGACATATATTGCACGAAAACGCAACCAGATCTCGTTCGGTTTCAGAATTCTCAGCCGAGGTACGCGACGGGATTTGATTGTTTTCCTGATAACGCATGATTGAGCTGCGTTGAACCGGATCGCATGATCGAACCCGTCGAGGATGCAACCCTAAGCTCTAAGAACGACATAGCGTGGAACTGCGAGAGTTGACACGACAAATCACGTCGCGAATGGGACGACACGCAGCAAGGAAACTACTAGGCTAGAGTAGCGTGAAGCCTCCCCCGAGGCATCGGCCAGCTCACGTCCAGATCGACGGTCGGGGCGGACGAGTGGAGGCGCTCGGAGAGCGACGCGAGCACGCTGAGGCCGATGAGCAGAAAGACGGAGAGCGTGACAACCGCGTTCACGCGGTACAGCCACGTGTGCATCGCGGCGAGGCAGGCGTCTAGGCGGCTCGTGGCTTTTAGCGCAGCGAAAATAGGAAGCTGGGATTGAGATTAGAATGCTGTCAGATAGATTTGAAGTGGTGGGGCTTCACTGATTACAGAGAGCATGTACCCGTTACAGAAGCGCAAACCAGCAATGATGACGCAGTACAGTGCATTGTACTCCCGAATCAGCAATGATGATCTAGGCCCTCCCGAATTGGTTACGACCGCGGTGTTTAGCATTGTATAATCTCTTTATATAGTGCATTTTCACCTCCAAAAAAAAAGATTAACGATCTGAGATCTAGCTAGATTTTGCAGTTGGTTTTTGTGATGTAAGAAGGCATTCCGAGTAGTTACTAACCAGCAACCTCATGACAAGCTACAAGGTTGCGACCTTATAACCAGAACACCGGTTAAGAAGAATCTACCCAAACTAAATACACCATTCTCTTCAATTCACCACTATCTTCTATCCGGGCGATGACGGTATAACGGCACTTCTGCCAGCATCCAGTATCCATGCGCGCTCAGTCATTCCGATTGGCTGTGCGGCAGGCGGTGGTTCGCCCCGCCACCAGATTCTCCACCACCTCCCGCAAGTCGGTGCTCTCAAGTGCACGGTGGACTCATATTTGGGTTCAGCTTGACGGCTCATTGGCCTAGGCTTTAATCCCATAAAGTCATTCCGACTGGCTGTACAGCAGGCGGTGGTCTGCCACCAGATCCTCCACCACCACCTCCCTCACCTCGGTGCTCCAGCCAGAAGCACTATTTTCTGCATCCACCCCCTCAGTCCGACAGGCTCAGTCTGATTGGCTCAGTCACTCGGACTGGCTGTACAGCATGCGGTGGTCTGCCACCAGATCCTCCACCACCTCCCTCACTGGCCGGGCTGCTGACTTTGGCACCATGGCTGCGTACACCATGGGGGGGATGTCTGGGGGCAGGGGGATGGGGAACAGGAGAGGAGAGAGGGGGGGGGGGAGGGAGGAGGATTAGCATACTTGATTGCCACCTCCCTCACAGGCCTGGCTGCTGACTTGGGCACCATTGCGGCGTACACATGGGGGGAATGTCTGGGGGCAGGGGGATGGAGGAGAGAAGAGGAGAGAATGATTGCTAAATCCCCACCTCCCTCACTGGCCTGGCTGCTGACTTGGGCACCATTGCTGCATTCACCATGGGGGGGATGTCTGTGGGGCAGGGGAGGAAAGGAGCAACAGAAAAAGGTGTTCCCAGGCTCAACCACCTCGTCCGTGCCACATGTGCCAGTGCTGAGCAGCATTGCTGCATACACCATGGGGGGGTGTCTGGGGGAGCAGGGGGCATGGGAGGAAAGGAGCAACAGAAAAAGGGGTTCACAGGCTTATGTGCAAGTGCTGAGCAGCATTGGCTGCATACTCCATGCGAGGGATGTCTGGGGGGGCATGGGAGGAAAGGAGAAGAGGGACCAGGGTGTTCACAGGCTTAACCACCTCGTTCTTGGCACATTCGGAAGTGCTGGGCAGCATGGCTGCGTACTCCAGGGGGGGATGTCTGGGAGACGGGTATGGGAGGAAAGGAGAAGAGGGAACAGGGTATTTTCAGGCTTAACCATCAGCAGGTGTTCGTCCTTGGCACATGTGCAAGTGCTGGGCAGCATGGCTGCGTACTCCAGGGGGGAATGTATGGCGACTGGGGGCATGGGAGCAGGGGATCGGAGGCTTGGAGATAGGAATGCGATTAGAGTGCGTGTAGAGGCCCAAAGAGTTGCTTGTGGTTGCTGTTGATGAGTCGAAGCAGCACGGGCACATAGACCATGCACTGCCCAACAGACAGCCATCACTGCCTGACAGCCATCACTGCCTGACAGCCATCACTGCCTGACAGCCATCACTGCCTGACAGCCATCACTGCCTGACAGCCATCACTGCCTGACAGCCATCACTGCCTGACAGCCATCACTGCCTGACAGCCATCACTGCCTGACAGCCATCACTGCCTGACAGCCATCACTGCCTGACAGCCATCACTGCCTGACAGCCATCACTGCCTGGCAGCCCTCACACGATGAACCCAATCAGATGCTTGATGTAAAACAAGACACTCGCCATACCGAGGCTACTGATGATCTCCACCAGGTCCATGATCTCAATGATAACACCCTCTCGCCCGCACCTCCTCTCCCATTCGAAGAGAGAGAGAGCAGACATGACCGGCCCTCACTGCTTACCCAGGCTGCTAATGATCTCCACCAGGTCCAGGATCTCAATGCCAGACAGCCTCTCACCCACACCTCCTCGCTCCTCTCTCACCGACACCCATGCCACCAACACCCTCACTGCTTACCCAGGCTGCTGATGATCTCCACCAGGTCCATGATCTCAATGCCCGACAACCCCGACACGATGCACACCCGCTCGCCCACGTTGTTCGGCCATTGGCTGCTGCTGTCACTTGCCTGTTCAGGCCACAGGTGGGGGGAATTAATGCAGGGGCGATTGCGGGGGGGATTGATGCAAGGGGGGATTGATGCAAGGGGGGATTGATGCAAGGGGGAAGGGAATTGATGCCACAGCCCTGACACGATGCACACCCGCTCGCCCACGTTGTTGGGCCACACGCTGCTGCTGTCAGCCGCCTGTTGGCACGATGTGCGGGTGTGGGGGTAAAATGCAGGGGTGCAACGACTGGTCAGTGCCTTGGCTGCAAACTTTCGGTGCCAGACATTCCTGACACAGCAGGCAGCGCACAGCAGGCAGCGCACAGCAGGCAGCGCACAGCACGCCACAGAGGACGCAGGCACGAGGTGGAAGGGTTGGGCAGCTTTTGAATCGACTCAGAAAGCGCACCTGTGATTGCGAGGCAGAGGCTACAGAGGGCGCGGGCATGGAGGGGAAGGGCTGGGCGGCCCTCTCCATGGCGTCCCACAGAGTGACGTCCGCCACTGACTCGTCCGCTGATAGCAGCTGCGGTTGGGTGCGGTTCAGAAGGGTTGATGGGGACAAAGGAACACAGTGAGTGAGGGTGAGGAGGGCTGAGCTCCATGGCGTCCCACAGAGTGACGTCCGCCACTGACTCGTCCGCTGATAGCAGCTGCGGTTGGGTGCGGTTCAGAAGGGTTGATGGGGACACAGGAACACAGTGAGTGAGGGTGAGGAGGGCTGAGTTCCATGGCGTCCCACAGAGTGACGTCCGCCACTGACTCGTCCGCTGATAGCAGCTGCGGTTGGGTGCGGTTCAGAAGGGTTGATGGGGACACAGGAACACAGTGAGTGAGGGTGAGGAGGGCTGAGTTCCATGGCGTCCCACAGAGTGACGTCCGCCACTGACTCGTCTGCTGCCAGCAGCTGATGAAGAGGGGTTAAAAGTGGCGAGAAGAGTGGGGCATACAGTTGGGGGGGCATACAGTTGAGGGGGCATACAGTTGAGAGAGCAGTACAAGGGAGCTGTGAGGGTATAGAGATACAGTGATGGAAGACAAGGAAGGAAGGAGTGCCTCCATATGGTGCCCCATTGCTCTGTGTCTGCCAGAGGGGAGGGGGGGAAGGAAAGGGGTGGAGAAGAAAGGCGGAACGGAGGGATGGGGGAGGAATCCAGGTATCTGATACTTTTAATATGCCGTGCTTTGAGACGTCTCAAATCAGGAATCTCAAACTTTTTATATGTGCTGTTCCGTTCCGTGTATGATCGCGCCCGCCACGCCACTTATGCATCTGCCAGGAGGCTCGACGGGGCAGAAAGGAGGCTCGATGGGGCAAAGCAGAGTAGACGGGGATGAAGAGGGTGGGTGGTGGGGTGTGGGAGGGCAGGAGGTGTGGTTTATAGAAAAGGTCGGAGCGCAGAAAGCAGGTGTGAGGGGTTGTTTGAGGTCCACAAAGCTCTTTGTGGACCTTTGAGGCGCCTCAAAAGGGGCGCTCTTCGTGGACTTTGAGACATCTTGAAAGGGGCGCTCTTTATGGGGTCCCCTGGTCAACTTTCGTGTCATCTGCAGATCACGCTGACGGTGAACCGAGTTGCTGTGTGTGTGTGACAGTTCATGTCGTTATGCACGCTTTTGTTGGACACAAACAGCAGGTGATACAAAGAAATCGTAGGTGACACAACCAACGGAGACACAAAGCTAGGAACAAACAGGGAACGAAATTAGAAGTACTGCAGTGGGGAGCAGCAGAGGGGCGCAGCAGAGGGGAAGAGCAGAGGGGCGCAGCAGAGGGGAGCAGCAGAGGGGCGTGTACAATGACGCCTAACACATCAAAGCCACCATAACAGCAGGGGGGAGCAGCAGGGGGGCGTACCGAGATGAAGCTGGCCTCTGCTTCATCCAGTGCTGCTCGAACCTGCAGTGCGGCGAGGGTGGATGGGGGCGGAGAGTGAGGAGCGGAGAGGCAAGAAGGGAGAGGGGAGAGGGGTGATAGGGGAGGGCGAGTGCACTTGCGTGGATGATGGATGTGAAGAAGAGCAAGTGCATGTATGAGGGTGCAACTGAAGCTGCACAGGTCTGGTGTTATGTTGAACACGTTTGATTGAACATGTTATGTTGAACACGTTTGATTGAACATGTTATGTTGAACACGTTTGATTGAATATGTTATGTTGAACACGTTTGATTGAACATGTTTTGTTGAACACGTTTGATTGAACATGTTATGTTGAACACGTTTGATTGAATATGTTATGTTGAACACGTTTGATTGAACATGTTTTGTTGAACACGTTTGATTGAACATGTTTTGTTGAACACGTTTGATTGAACATGTTATGTTGAACACGTTTGATTGAACATGTTATGTTGAACCACGCGCACATGCGCGTATACGCACACGCGCACACGCACCTTTTCAATCTCGTCAGGTGTTAAGCCAAGCAGTAGCAACGCCTGCAATCACAGGAGGGGGTTGAAGCAGGCAGACATGGAAAGGCGCACAGCACAGCCCACCACACCCCACCACAGCACACCAACACCACACAGAAATTGCTGAGAGAACATTCGCGACGAGTGGTGAACCCACAGCGACGGCCTTGAAACAGATGCTGAGCATCCGATTCCCCGCTGCAGTTCAATGAAAGCACGTGTGGTTCTGGCATTGCAATACATGTAAGTTGTGGGCTGTAGTGCACTTGTAGATGGTGCTGGCATCCCACGTGCTGGCATCCCATGTGCTGGCATCCCACGTGCTGGCATCCCATGTGCTGGCATCCCACGTGCTGGCATCCCATGTGCTGGCATCCCACGTGCTGGCATCCCATGTGCTGGCATCCCATGTGCTGGCATCCCATGTGCTGGCATCCCACGTGCTGGCATCCCATGTGCTGGCATCCCATGTGCTGGCATCCCACGTGCTGGCATCCCACGTGCTGGCATCCCATGTGCTGGCATCCCATGTGCTGGCATCCCACGTGCTGGCATCCCACGTGCTGGCATCCCATGTGGTGGCATCCCATGTGCTGGCATCCCACGTGCTGGCATCCCATGTGGTGGCATCCCATGTGCTGGCATCCCATGTGCTGGCATCCCATGTGCTGGCATCCCACGTGCTGGCATCCCATGTGCTGGCATCCCACGTGCTGGCATCCCACGTGCTGGCATCCCATGTGCTGGCATCCCATGTGCTGGCATCCCATGTGCTGGCATCCCATGTGCTGGCATCCCATGTGCTGGCATCCCATGTGCTGGCATCCCACGTGCTGGCATCCCATGTGCTGGCATCCCATGTGCTGGCATCCCATGTGCTGGCATCCCATGTGGTAGCATCCCATGTGCTGGCATCCCATGTGGTAGCATCCCATGTGCTGGCATCCCATGTGGTAGCATCCCATGTGCTGGCATCCCATGTGGTAGCATCCCATGTGCTGGCATCCCATGTGGTAGCATCCCATGTGCTGGCATCCCATGTGGTAGCATCCCATGTGCTGGCATCCCATGTGGTAGCATCCCATGTGCTGGCATCCCATGTGGTAGCATCCCATGTGCTGGCATCCCATGTGGGTAGCATCCCATGTGCTGGCATCCCATGTGGTAGCATCCCATGTGCTGGCATCCCATGTGGTAGCATCCCATGTGCTGGCATCCCATGTGGTAGCATCCCATGTGCTGGCATCCCATGTGGTAGCATCCCATGTGCTGGCATCCCATGTGGTAGCATCCCATGTGCTGGCATCCCATGTGGTAGCATCCATGTGCTGGCATCCCATGTGGTAGCATCCCATGTGCTGGCATCCCATGTGGTAGCATCCCATGTGCTGGCATCCCATGTGGTAGCATCCCATGTGCTGGGGCATCCCATGTAGGTAGCATCCCATGTGCTGGCATCCCATGTGGTAGCATCCCATGTGCTGGCATCCCATGTGGTAGCATCCCATGTGCTGGCATCCCATGTGGTAGCATCCCATGTGCTGGCATCCCATGTGGTAGCATCCCATGTGCTGGCATCCCATGTGGTAGCATCCCATGTGCTGGCATCCCATGTGGTAGCATCCCATGTGCTGGCATCCCATGTGGTAGCATCCCATGTGCTGGCATCCCATGTGCTGGCATCCCATGTGGTAGCATCCCATGTGCTGGCATCCCATGTGGTAGCATCCCATGTGCTGGCATCCCATGTGGTAGCATCCCATGTGCTGGCATCCCATGTGGTAGCATCCCATGTGCTGGCATCCCATGTGGTAGCATCCCATGTGCTGGCATCCCATGTGGTAGCATCCCATGTGCTGGCATCCCATGTGGTAGCATCCCATGTGCTGGCATCCCATGTGGTAGCATCCCATGTGCTGGCATCCCATGTGGTAGCATCCCATGTGCTGGCATCCCATGTGGTAGCATGGCATGTGCTGGCATCCCATGTGGTAGCATCCCATGTGGTAGCATCCCATGTGCTGGCATCCCATGTGCTGGCATCCCATGTGGTAGCATCCCATGTGCTGGCATCCCATGTGGTAGCATCCCATGTGCTGGCATCCCATGTGCTGGCATCCCATGTGCTGGCATCCCATGTGGTAGCATCCCATGTGCTGGCATCCCATGTGGTAGCATCCCATGTGCTGGCATCCCATGTGGTAGCATCCCATGTGCTGGCATCCCATGTGGTAGCATCCCATGTGCTGGCATCCCATGTGCTGGCATCCCATGTGGTAGCATCCCATGTGCTGGCATCCCATGTGGTAGCATCCCATGTGCTGGCATCCCATGTGGTAGCATCCCATGTGCTGGCATCCCATGTGGTAGCATCCCATGTGCTGGCATCCCATGTGGTAGCATCCCATGTGCTGGCATCCCATGTGGTAGCATCCCATGTGCTGGCATCCCATGTGGTAGCATCCCATGTGCTGGCATCCCATGTGGTAGCATCCCATGTGCTGGCATCCCATGTGGTAGCATCCCATGTGCTGGCATCCCATGTGGTAGCATGGCATGTGCTGGCATCCCATGTGGTAGCATCCCATGTGGTAGCATCCCATGTGCTGGCATCCCATGTGCTGGCATCCCATGTGGTAGCATCCCATGTGCTGGCATCCCATGTGGTAGCATCCCATGTGCTGGCATCCCATGTGCTAGCATCCCATGTGCTGGCATCCCATGTGGTAGCATCCCATGTGCTGGCATCCCATGTGGTAGCATCCCATGTGCTGGCATCCCATGTGGTAGCATCCCATGTGCTGGCATCCCATGTGGTAGCATCCCATGTGCTGGCATCCCATGTGGTAGCATCCCATGTGCTGGCATCCCATGTGGTAGCATCCCATGTGCTGGCATCCCATGTGGTAGCATCCCATGTGCTGGCATCCCATGTGGTAGCATCCCATGTGCTGGCATCCCATGTGGTAGCATCCCATGTGCTGGCATCCCATGTGGTAGCATCCCATGTGCTGGCATCCCATGTGGTAGCATCCCATGTGCTGGCATCCCATGTGGTAGCATCCCATGTGCTGGCATCCCATGTGCTGGCATCCCATGTGCTGGCATCCCATGTGCTGGCATCCATGTGCTGGCATCCAATGTGCTGGCATCCCATGTGCTGGCATCCCATGTGCTGGCATCCCATGGTGGGATCCCATTGCTGGCATCCATGTGCTGGCATCCCATGTGGTGGCATCCCATGTGCTGGCATCCCATGTGCTGGCATCCCATGTTGCTGGCATCCCATGTGCTGGCATCCCATGTGCTGGCATCCCATGTGCTGGCATCCCATGTGCTGGCATACCATGTGGCTGGCATCCCCATGTGCTGGCATCCCATGTGTGGCATCCATGTGCTGGCATCCCATGTGCTGGCATCCCATGTGCTGGCATTCCCATGTGCTGGCATCCCATGTGCTGGCCTCCCATGTGTGGCATCCCATGTGCTGGCATCCCATGTGCTGGCATCCCATGTGCTGGCATCCCATGTGCTGGCATTCCCATGTGCTGGCATCCCATGTGGCTTGGCATCCCATGTGGCTGGCATCCCATGTGCGGCATCCCATGTGCTGGCATCCCATGTGCTGGCATCCCATGTGCTGGCATCCCATGTGCTGGCATCCCTATGTGCTGGCATCCCATGTGCTGGCATCCCATGTGCTGGCATCCCATGTGCTGGCATCCCATGTGCTGGCATCCCATGTGCTGGCATCCCATGTGCTGGCATCCCATGTGCTGGCATCCCATGTGCTGGCATCCCATGTGGTGGCATCCCATGTGCTGGCATCCCATGTGCTGGCATCCCATGTGCTGGCATCCCATGTGCTGGCATCCCATGTGCTGGCATCCCATGTGCTGGCATCCCATGTGCTGGCATCCCATGTGCTGGCATCCCATGTGCTGGCATCCCATGTGCTGGCATCCCATGTGCTGGCATCCCATGTGCTGGCATCCCATGCGCTGGCATCCCATGTGCTGGCATCCCATGTGCTGGCATCCCATGTGCTGGCATCCCATGTGCTGGCATCCCATGTGCTGGCATCCCATGTGCTGGCATCCCATGTGCTGGCATCCCATGTGCTGGCATCCCATGTGCTGGCATCCCATGTGCTGGCATCCCATGTGCTGGCATCCCATGTGCTGGCATCCCATGTGCTGGCATCCCATGTGCTGGCATCCCATGTGCTGGCATCCCATGTGCTGGCATCCCATGTGCTGGCATCCCATGTGCTGGCATCCCATGTGCTGGCATCCCATGTGCTGGCATCCCATGTGCTGGCATCCCATGTGCTGGCATCCCATGTGGTAGCATCCCATGTGGTAGCATCCCATGTGGTAGCATCCCATGTGCTGGCATCCCATGTGGTAGCATCCCATGTGCTGGCATCCCATGTGCTGGCATCCCATGTGCTGGCATCCCATGTGCTGGCATCCCATGTGCTGGCATCCCATGTGGTAGCATCCCATGTGCTGGCATCCCATGTGCTGGCATCCCATGTGCTGGCATCCCATGTGCTAGCATCCCATGTGCTGGCATCCCATGTGCTGGCATCCCATGTGCTGGCATCCCATGTGCTGGCATCCCATGTGCTGGCATCCCATGTGCTGGCATCCCATGTGCTGGCATCCCATGTGCTGGCATCCCATGTGCTGGCATCCCATGTGCTGGCATCCCATGTGCTGGCATCCCATGTGCTGGCATCCCATGTGCTGGCATCCCATGTGCTGGCATCCCATGTGCTGGCATCCCATGTGCTGGCATCCCATGTGCTGGCATCCCATGTGCTGGCATCCCATGTGCTGGCATCCCATGTGCTGGCATCCCATGTGCTGGCATCCCATGTGCTGGCATCCCATGTGCTGGCATCCCATGTGCTGGCATCCCATGTGCTGGCATCCCATGTGCTGGCATCCCATGTGCTGGCATCCCATGTGCTGGCATCCCATGTGCTGGCATCCCACGTGCTGGCATCCCACGTGCTG